TCACATGTGGTGTGAAAACTGGGAAGTAGAAGATATAAGACAAAACAAAACCAAAGTATGAATACAAGTACGCAAGTATTTGGGAAGATATTGAATTTCAAAGTATCATTGTATAGAGGTAAACAGCCGAACCCAAACGTTTGCTTTCATCGAGGTCAGAAGCACTGCAACAGAAAAAACATCATTTTTGGTTCCTAGGAGTTGAAGTACAAGTAGGAACTGAAAGTGTGTTCTAGCAACATTGGTGAATATCTTTATGCAGGACCAACCGTGAAGTAACATTTTATCGCCTATATTCGCGGGCGTAAAGTAACAGTTAACGCACTAGATTGATAAAGAAGTTCAGAGGTCGGCAAGTTTTCCAGTGGGCGGTAAAGTAATTTCATTGTTTTCACAGTAATTTCTAGTAGACTACCATTCCATGTTTCTTCGCCAGTGACATACAAAATTTGGCCAAATGAATCCAAAATCATTGAAAAATTCCATATTGACGTTGAATAAATGTCAACTGTTCGTGCATAAAATGTTGTATGTATTTCGGGCATAACTTGCTTTAATGGACCTAGGCGTATCAATAGCCCTCGCTATTGCTCGGGCTCCTATTTACATGCTGTGGTCCATGAAAGCCTACTTACGCCCTTGATACATAAATAACTATTGTGTCAGTAATAGAAACGTCAACCTAAAGAGGTAATTTTGGAATCAAAATTGACGAATTTTGAGTCGCTTGCAGAAGAACGGTATTTTTTGCTACCGGTGAAAAAATCGCAGAATTGTCAAAATTGATTGATGGGAGATGTACTTTTTTTTAATTCAGAGGAGAAAGTTTATGAACTAGTAGAGAATCAGGATTTTATTATCACCCAGTATATTCTTTGGTGAAATTCTGAAAGTTAAATTCGAAATTCTATCCCTTTCACTCATAATAAGATATAGATTAGAATATTATAAATGTCATGTGGTTCAAAATAATTTTTCCCTATCTCTCCTACACAAGAGGAGAAAAATGAGCACGTGTTGTTTATCAAATAAACCCACCTGACATAAAAATCACCTCGTAATGTTTCTTATATCTATTTGTTGGACTATACACTGATATGACTGATATCAGGTACATCAGTAGAGTCCAGCAACAACTTAGATAGTACCTAGTGTCCAATTTTCAATATCCTTATGGAATATCATACTTATTATTTTTAAATAGTATATTATTAGGGTATAAGTGGATATTATAAGGTCTTTCAAGCACAAGCAATTGATATATGTTTTTTTTTCATCCTTTGGTGCGCACCAAAGGGAATCCCTATAATGTTAGGATAGGTAGAGGAGGTAGATGTTGGAATTTTTTCGTGTGGTACCTATTGAAAAATTGATATACAGTGTGTAGTGGTGAGAAATTCTCAATTTCAATTTTCAGCAATTTTCACATTTTTGAAACATTATTTCATAAAACAGCTAGTTTTTCTGTAGTGCATCTTCTGTAGCCAATGCTATTAAAAATATCATCTTACCAGAATACAACATTTCAAAATTCATAGCCAACTGAATATATGATTATTCTTCAATTTTTTTAGTAGGTTATGTTAAGTCAAATATGTCAGAAAGTTAAAGCATGCAGACTAGGCACTTCGATTTTGATATCTAAAAATCTTTCTGATCATATTTCCGACTTATCTGTTACTAAAAATCTTTGAGATAAATCCATCATGAAACCAAATATTGCACACATGAGTTGTTAGAAAAATACTTAAATACCGGAATGTTCAGATCAATAAGTGCGCTTTTAATGTTCAGGCATAAAAATAGTTAATTATTATACAATGTAAAAAAGTAGTAGCAGTTCTTTATCTCCCTCCGCTATGCGTCGGGGACAACACAACCTGGAGCTAAAATATAATATTTTCCCGTGTATAATATTTTTTTATGTGAGGAAAGAGGACGAATCAATATTCAGAAAATATTTTATATATAATCAGAAAAATATCCACTTGGAATTTGAAGTTTTAAACTGGAAATACACCTGTGTTGCATGCATCTTTATTATTCTTTTGAAGTAATCAAATATCTGTCAGTCTAATTCTGTTATATGATTTTCAAAAATTTCGGATTTAGTGGTTGTTTAGTAATTTATGAGGTAATTTACAATTTACGTAACCGCGAAGTCGAATGAAAAATAAAAGGACTTGCAGTTCTTGCTCGGAGACGGTGTAATTGGATTATTTTTCGGAACTATAGCACAACAAAAGCCATCAGTGCATATACAGGGTGTCCCATAAGTAATGGATCAAATGAAGTGGGGTGGTAGGGGGGGGGGGTAATTTACAATCCAACTAACTGTATATGTGGTTATCCAATCGTTGATGGTTCAAAAGTTATTCATAGTTTTCATTTGTATAAAAAAGAATTAATTACAATAACACTATGTCACATTTGTGATTTTTTCTTTTACAAATTCCATTTACGTGGACACACCTTTCCCCAAAAATAATTTTTTGACATGTACTACTTCTTATCAATTACCTAAGAAAAATGTTGTTTTCCTGGAGTTTTGTCATCGAATGAAATATTTGAGTTTTTAAATGCCGCTGGCAGATTTAAAAACTACCCCACAAAGATAACCAATTAATAGATTCTGAAATGGTATAACATATGGAGTTATCTAAAACAGCCTTTTTGTTATTAATTTCTTTCAGGTGGGTCGCATTTCTCAGAAAAATTGAATAACTTTTGAACCATCAACAATTTGATAACAAATATACCGTTAGTTTGATTACAAATGACCCCCCCTATACCACCCCACTCCTTTTGATCCATTACTCATGGGACACCCTGTATATGCGATTTATATCTGGATAAAAATTAATCACTTTTTACCCGTGGAAAAAAAGTAATTTATGGAAGGTGACATTATATAACAGCGATGAAATTTCATACTTTTTTGCCGTCACAGAAAAAATATATTTCTATATTCAAAAGGATGAAGGAGAGTTCAAAGTCATCTCCACTACTTTATTTCTGATGTCAGAAACCAGGGGTCACGGCCTCCACCCTGCAATGGCTACTTCCATGCCACGCTATATCTAATAAGTAGCGACTTAGCAGGTGATCCTTATACTGGGTGTCCCTAAGATGTCTATACAACATCTTAGTACATTTTCCTGAGGTCGAAATGAGCCGATTCAAAGCAACTTACCTCAGTCGGAGGTGGTGAAGTTAAACAATAAAAATCGAATTTTTCAGAATTTGTGAACATTTTTAGACTTATTGCTTCAAAAATTGGTATCTGGGGGGTTTTTGGGATGCGAAACATAAATACAGAGACCTTTTTATTTTGGCCATCAGAGGGCGCTCACCAATACATCTTTTATGTCTTCTTTGTAGAGGAAATGATGATATAAACATTTTCAAGCAAGAAAGAAAATCCGCTAAAGTAAGTCGATTTCGAGATATTTCGTTTTTAGTGTTCGATGCAGCATTGGAATATTTTAATTATTTTGAATAAAAAAAAAACTTATCTTCGTGGATGATATTTAGTCAGTGAATTAGCAGCACAAAAATGGATTTTTCAAAATACTTTCTTGGAGTGTACTTGTCGATTATTATTTTTTAAATATACCACCCTGGAAATGAGATAGCATCTGAAGTCCCACAGGGTCCATTCTGGGGCCTTTGCTATTCCTAATATTCATGAACGATCTTCCTACGTTTTGTTCATAGCCATTGACAAGCACTGTCATATTTGCAGACGATACAAATACAAGGTGAATCTGAAAGTGAGTTTGTTTTCAACAGGATATATATCACCAAAATAAGTTGTTTGACAAAAAATTGCTCTTATAAAATATTCAAGATAACGGAGGTACAGGTATTTATAATGGTTTAAAGAAGACTCCAACTATGAAACATTTTGTTTACATTTTCTCAAAGAAAACGCAAAAAAGCCGTTATTAGTCCAGCATTAGATACCCTACAGTTGCATTATTTCATCAGAAATACTAATCAAAAACCTCTTTTTACATTTTCAACCTATTAATTATCGTTTTAAAGTGAATCAAAAAACTTCAAAAGGGAAATGAAGCATTAGGCCAAACAACTTATTTTGGCGAGATATATACCCTGTTAAGTAAAAAACGTTACTTTCAGATTCACCCTGTATAATCGTGAGTACAAAAGACACTAACGCGCTTTGACAATTAGAGAATGGATTTACTTTTGAACAATGACAATACACAATTTCATAAATTTCGTACAAAAAAATTACAAAAATGAGAGTAGCACTTTGCTGAAGTTAGCGTTAGTTTTGAGAATTTTGTATTTATTCATTATATATCATTTTGAAGGCATTAAAATAAGGAATTCAATGAGCTTATGAAATACAGGGTGTTTCATTTAAAAAATCATAAGTTTGAGTCGTATCTCCAAACCATACCCCGAAAAAAAAAAATTCAAGTGCGCCATAGGATTCTCCGTAAAATTCTCTATGCGATAAGCTTTTGATTTGAAATTTTTGTTGAGAAACTTCGTAGATGTAGAGGGGGTCCAAGAAGTATACATTTTCAAAATCGCCCTGTATCTCATAAACGGAAACAGTCTTGCAAAATCTGATTAAGCCATCTTGAGTTTCACGAAAAAGTGGCACAGGACCGCGAAAACCTCAAGCTTCTATCTCCAAAGATAACTGAGATATCACGCAAAAGCATCGAAAACTGGACACACTGTACAATACACACCTGCAGTATAGTGCGTTCCTCCCGACTCACCCTGTATAATTTCTGTATTATATCAAATTAAAAATGTTATGAGGATTCCGAATCGACAAACATTCTAATGTCTGATAATGCAGGCCCCAGTACCTACTGATCCACCACTTTTCAATAACAATGAATAGCTATTACCATGGAATAATAACATTAATTGACATTAATCTTGATATATGATTAAATGAGATTCAATAGAGTAAATAAGTTGGACAATCTGTGAATAACAATTTTTTTTTCCAGGGGATGAAGTGTTTTCCAATGACGAAGAAGAAATTTTCTCGAAAAACGCAGAAGCGAATTTTGTGTTTGATGTAACAAGTGAATCTGATACTGCTATTGGTGGCAAATGGATGTCAGACGACAGAGAATTGGTACCCCATCGAAGGGTGTTGATATTCCAATCGAATAAGCTGAAGACTATTATAGATCAAATTACTGCTTTTGTTCATCCTAATAATGTTTGATATGGTCTTCATTGAAATCATTTTCCATTTTTATCATAGAATTTTATGGTTAACTAATTCTATCATTTCCCAACTTGAAATTTCCACTCATTCTTCAGAACTGTCAAAACAGGAGCGTCATTTCAGTATAAATAATGGAGGAGAGGGCAGAAGGACAGAGACCACCCAATCACACCAAACTATCAGATACGAAAACTTTGATGCCGCCTTTGAGGTGTGATGGCTCAATTTTTTTGTGAGAAGAACTATTATATACCGAAATTTTCACAGCGCGCCATTTAGAGCGAAAAATCTTAAGAGCGAACAATCTAAATAGCGAAATAGTCAAAGCGAGAAATAGTATGAAAAATCATAAAAGCTAATTTTATTGATATATCAGATTCTCTACAAAAAAACGACATGTTATTTCAATTATATAATTAATGTTTTGACAAACACCTCAAAGACCATCCCTACCAGGACTCTTCGGTTAGGCTTATTATATTTAATTTGGTGAAAATCAGATCGCGTCAATTCCTTATACCCATCAATGCTGACGTCTTTTCCTGGAAGGAAAGCCGATGCTCCCAGAAAATTGAGTTGCAAAGTAACATCTGGGTCACTGATTTTGGCTAGCTCAATCTGGAAATTTTTGCAAGTTTCTACAGAGATCGATCTTGCTTGAAATGGAAGTAGCAACAAGAAATCTTTGCTACATCAAAATATCCAAATTCTCTGATTGTTATATCCGTGACATCATATAGCAAGAAGCCCCTTTCATTTTTCATGAATCTGTACTCTTCCCGAATCATCAGTTCTTTCAATCTATGTTCCCTCTAATACTCCTTTTCATATTTTTTCCAGTTGGTATTCTTTCCATGACCGCTGCATGTTGAAAGGTCACTACAGATCTACGACAAAACAAAATTATAACCTAACCACATACGACTAAAACAAATCCAATGAATGATAGGACATTCTCATTGGTTAAAAATAATTGCAATAATATTATTTGGATTGTCAATGGTTTCGGTAGCCAGTTGTTTTCTTTTCTTGCGTAGATCTTTGCCGGATTCGGTGTGGGTGACTATGCTCGGATTCTTTGATTATATTCTCATTTATAGTATGTTTTCCATGGTATAATATATCCTTATATTCCACACATCTACAATATGTTTTTTATCACCAACTAATTTCTTCTTTCTATATAGAAAATTATTATATACAGCCAAAACATTGCCACCTTTACTTTTAATGTATTGATTGTAACATGGCGACGAACTAATAATAAGAATAAACAAAAAAAGTTACCATTTTGCATGTATATACTCATCTCGTAGAAAGATTGCGCTTCTAGAAAGTGAAACTCGTTTAGGAGCAAAAACCTAAAGTCAATGTCAAAAGCCTAAGATTTATTTTCAGTGGTATATTTTTTATTTCGCTGTAAATGGCAGCGCACTTAAATTATTCGTCATAATTTTTTGCTAATCAAATGTCTTCGATGTAAATGTTCTGCGACCTATAATTTTGCACCCTACAGAAAAGTTGCTATTCTCAAATTCGCTCTATATCTTTAGTTCACAACGACCAACGACGTCCTCCTGAATATAACACCATATACAGCATATACTACACTGAAAATATGATTGCAGTCTATCATTCGCAGGAATTCCAAAAGTATTTCTTTGGCTTTTCGATAATAAAAAGAATACTCATGTATTGACCATTCGCAATATGCTGTCAATACAAATCCTGTTGAAATTACAGCCTATACTGGGTGACAGATCGAGTATCGGGCCATCACTGTAGTAGTAGTAGTAGTTGTTGTAGAAGTAGTATTGTAGAAGTTGGGGAGGCCGTAACCAAGCAAGTAGGCCCCGATGGGCCCTTTTTGCTATCCCCTGCTCTCCACATATCTACGCTTCCTTCACCTCGATTTCCTTCACGGAACTCCCTGACCTTCTGGTGGAGACCAGTATGTCTGTCTACTCTTATATGATCAACACCTCCTGTTGGAGTTTGTCGACTCCAAAGATCTCAAATCTCAGCCTCCCGTACGCCTCGCACTCGCCGAGGCAAGAAAATGCAGTGACGTTTCTTCGTCTTCCCCACATCTGCGGCAAGTGGGGTTGCCCTCTATTCCCATAGGTGTTAGGTGTCTGCCTAGCCTGTTTATGTCCTGTAAGTACTCGCCTATGAGAAGGCGGAGTACTTTCACAGTCTCCGCCAATAAGCAGCCAGTCCTTCCTTGATTTTGCTCGGACCGGCCACGAATTCCTTATTGGCCTGCCTGCAATCTGTGATATTCCTTTATTCAATAGTCTCCTAGTGCCTTATTGTCCGCCCATTCATCAAGGGTTGACGTAGTTTGGCTCCTTGCAATTTATATGGGACATGCCCAGTAAATGGTCCCATAGGCGGGACTCTATATATCAGTACACTGCGGCCGGCAGCTGGTCCCAGTGTTGGGTACCCAACAATCATATTCAGTTCTCCGGCAAAAGGCCAGTACAACATAATCGACACATATAGTTTCCCGTAGCAAGCCCAGCATATACATGAATGATGGGACTGTAATGGCCAATTAACCACATTGGTTACATACTATCGAGGTAGGGGAGGGGTAGGGGTTTTAGGGGTCTAATGGATCTGAAAGTTCTAGTATACCGTCTTTATTTCACAATATAACAATCTCATCATGAATCAGACACATACCAGATTTCAAGAAAACAATTTTATGAATGACACAATGATCATAACCTCTCTGTTCTTCAACGATGAAACTTCTCGGAGTGACTGCTTACTGGTTGGTATGTGGTATCTACATCTTATTGGGTAGCATTCCTTCAAAGTAGATCCTTCGCTGTGAGGTACTTCGAAAATTTAAAATGCATCATTTGTTTTATATTAGTGGCCTATGAGTTGTATGAGTTTAGAACTTGATAATATAGTCTGATGACGTGATAACATGGAGTTTTTCAATTCTCATTATTTTCCTGGCACAGGTATTTCTTTAGCTGAAAACTTATTGTTATTTAGTTCTTTGATATAGAAATAGGTTCAAATAACCTGAGATTGCTTTTGATAGCAACAAACGAGTTAAAAATGATAGTTGCTTTTGGAGAAGTATAGCCAACTCCAATTATGATGATCATTAGGTATATGAGGTAACGAGATACCAAACACATGCATTTGATAATGAAATTCGAAACAATATGTAGGTATAGATTGATACTTACTCAATATTATCATGATTGGAGAATCTGTCTTCTATTATTACCAATTGAGAATAATACTCCTGCCATCATAAATAACCACCAGGGAAAGAGAGGACCACATTGATTCGACATAAACAAACTAGTACGCGATCACCACTCACGAGAGTCAGACATATATCTTAATCACATATAATATTGATCAGATCAATATTGATTTTTGATGTTGACGTTCCCAGAACATCCACCAGGGGGGCGAGTAGCGAACATGAAATTGGCCAGCAAAGGGCCAGATCTCTTTAGTATTCAACTAGTTCCAGACATCTTACCATCACAAGGCCATCATCGTATTTTTAACTGATGGTTACTTGGGCATAGGAAAATCATCGGCCCATTACTAATGCCCCGGCATCGTCACTTTCCCAGACTAGCCTGCAACAGGCCGGACTTCTCCCGCTAGTTCAATGTTTGCTGGGCTAGTACAGGCTCCTGTCCCAGGAACGACTCCGCGGGTCCGGCCCTAACAAGTTCGTCTGCTGTTTCGTTTCCGGGCACCCCACTGTGATCCGGGACCCATACCAGTTCAACTTCCTTCGATTCGGCAAATATATCTCAAGGGCATTTCCATCCACATTCTGGTGGAGACCAGTATGTCCGTCTACTCTAATATGATCAACACCTCCTGTTGGAGTTTGTCGACTCCAAATATCTCAAATCTCAGCCTCCCGTACGCCTCGCACTCGCCGAGACAAGAAAATGCAGTGACGTTTCTTCGTCTTCCCCACATCTGCGGCAAGTGGGGTTGCCCTCTATTCCCATAGGTGTTAGGTGTCTGCCTAGCCTGTTTATGTCCTGTAAGTACTCGCCTATGAGAAGGCGCAGTACTTTCACAGTCTCCGCCAATAAGCAGCCAGTCCTTCCTTGATTTTGCTCGGACCGGCCACGAATTCCGAATGCCGAGCTTGCATGATCTGAAATGATAGATAGCCTTGAGTGCTGCCTGACTATCACAGATGTAGATCTTTCACCTGTTGCCTCTCTTCTACGACGAGGATGGCGAACACCTCAGCATGGAGAACTGTGGTGTTTTTTCCTAGAGCGTAGCTTTCTTGTATGTTTCTCTCTTCGAGATAGATCCCTGCGCCTGAGGTCTGTTTGTCAGTCAGACGGGATCTGTCTGTGTAACATACTGATGAGCTTCCTAAGCGAAACTCCACTGTATTGCTTCTCCATTTTTCTCTGCTTATTGGAATAGTAAGTTTGAACTTTATATTCCATCTCAGCCTGTCCTGCACTTTATTCACTCTGAGAGTGGAGATAGGAATCTCCTGCTCCACCCACTTTGCAATTTTTGCATGTCCTGTTATTGTCCCTTATTCACTTGCCCAGTTTCCTCAGTCCCGTATCCTCAGGTGGGCCGCCATTGCTTCCCCCTTTGTCCAGATTTGAAGCGGTGGTAGCCCAGCATTACTTCTGATGCTGCCGTTGGCGTCGTCCTCATTGCACCTGTTATTGCTGAAGCAGTGTTGCCAATGGCTTATGATGAAAATGTTGTAATATCCTGGGATATAGAAAGAAAATGCAACACCTGGTACATTGATTCTATGATAATTATTATTGAATAAATTTGTTGAAGAATGAGATCAAGGATTTCCATAGCTAAACAATTCGAATTATCGACCCAATAAAATAATATGAAGATGCAAGTTCAGCAAAAACTGTTGTTTAATTTTTGGTAGCTACGGCTGACGCAATGCTGCTACAAAAAGTTGTCGAGATGGAAAAACGAAAAATAACTGGGACAGTCAGCGACCAGATTTTGGGCAAATCAGGTCGGTCCGGCGAAAGAATCTCGTAGTGGTCGCGTTTAGAAAAAAGAGTCATTTTTTAAGTATCAGGGTAGTGTCGTCCGTGTTGAATCCGGGAGTGTCTCGAGATCCAAAGAAAAAAACTGAGACGACGACGTCGCAGAATCGGTAAGTCTTTTGATATTTTCGTGACTAATACTGTGGGGTTGCATTTGATTTTCTGATCCCAGATTCTTTTATATGTACTATCTACCAGTACTGTATGTACGTTGCCACCCTACACCGGGTAGTTTTGGTTACTGGTACATATAAACAGCGTCTGGCCCTTTTCTCGGTGCAATTGATGGCAAAATTTGACTATCTAGATATCGTAGACTTGCACGTTTATATTGGCCAGAAAAAAATTGAAATTTTACCATTCTTTACTGCCCGGTATTAGAATTAGTTCAAAGTCACTCTAGCTCTTTGTACGATGCGTGTAGCATGAGAAGATTTTTTTGTTTGTTTCGTTTTGTCTCCCAATTAAGCTGATAAACTCTGAATAACTTACCTACTTTCTTTCCAAATTTTTTTAATAAACTTGTAAAATCTCATTCAGTTGTTTCACTCAGAAATCAAACCCGTGAAGAGAAATATCAGCCATTAGCGGCGAGTCTACACTGCCGTAACTGCTAAGGAGGTATCACCTGAGTTTTTTTTGACCACCCATAAACTCTCCCCCCATAGTGATCCTAAAAAGACCCCTTTAACCATTCATAGGGGGCACGAATCCACTACAGCCCCTTAGGACGCAGGAAGCCGAAGCCGTAGCCTTATCTGGGAGCTGGAGGGTAGCAGATTGGTACATCACCCTCGTGGTAAAGGAGCCTCTCTGTATATTTCGTTTGGTGACGGCTTTGTCTTTTCGTTTGGTGACGGTGGAGGTATTACAATGTCCACCTCCTGGAACGAAAAGATCCGAAATTGTCCGACGAGAGAATTCAAAATAACTTATAGAACAGGTGGTAAACTGATGATATTTTCATATGGAACATTTTTTTATGAGAGTTTTTCCTCACGCCATTTGTTCAATCAAAACAGGAAGTGGATATGATGTGGAAAATATATGAATTTTATTATAAAGTACTTTTTCATACATAAAATATTCAAAACATGAAAAACTAAAAACAGATTATAAATACCTATACTTATAGGAACAGTTTCAGTCTAAACAAGTTATTGAATAAAAATAAAACATATAAATAATAATAATAAAAAAATAAAACAAAATTGGTTCTTGGATTGACCATTGGCTTTAACAAAGTTGATGCTGCTGCAATTTCTATTATTTTTCTGCCCAGATGTTGCACTCTAACATTTGCTTAGAGGGTTGGAATTTAATGCAACCTCCTTCATCAGCAATCCCATCTTTGGTTCCCGGAATAGCCTTAATAGTATCTGTGTTTAACAGATTCCATTTATCAGTTTTAATGTTGAATAAATTGCTGAATATGCGTTCCACACTAGCATTAGAAAATGGCAACACAAAAAGTAAAGATAATGTCCAATATTGTTCACAGTCATTCACATTCAAGTTAATCTGTAGATCTTCAAAGTTCAACAAGGCATGTCGATCTTCGCCATTCATTGTCTAAACTCTGAAGATCAACATGATTTTTTAATACATGAAACCTATCAACTACTGGTTTCAGTGATTTAACCATGAAAGATTGTGCATATTTTGGATCTAAAATTTCTATTATATCAAAAATAGGATCATTGAACCTGAATCTTTCTTTGATTTCTGTAGTCAACTCTATATAAAATGATAAAATGGATTTCATAAATCTGTCAATATCACCAACACTAATATTTGTTCTCTTCTTTAGTTCTTCGTAACTCTCTGTAGCAAGTATTCCCAAATAAATGTTTTCTAAAGGTACAAAATTAGCTGGATGTTCATGATTGAATTCAAAAATAGAAGTATTATTTCTAATTACTTCAATTTTGATAAAATTGGAACACAGAACTTTCAATAGATTTTCTATTTCTGGTTTAACCCTATGAAGTTTTTCTGATTGAAAGAGTAGGTTGAAATCTGTCATGTGTCCAAGAGCATATGACATGAATTCCAGATAAATTTTTGTGAATGGATTGGACATAGTCTCCAGCATGTTATCGGTTGTAACTGATGGGTCTGTAAAAACAGACTCCCTCTAATATGACTCAAGAGGTGCATATTGTTCCAGCTCTCTGATAGACCACCTTGTTATTGATGGAGACAGTATCTTATGGATTTCTACATTGAAGAAATCTTGAAACTCCTGAAATTGTGTTCTTCGTAAAGCACTCCTATTGAAATGGCTGGCAATATTTCTTAGTAAATCTTCATCATGCCTGGGTAATTTCAAACAAGCTTTTGATATGGCTAGATGTGCCATATGACAGGAACACCTCACACAAACAATGTGTGGAAATTCTTCTTTCAGTAAGGAAAATACTGAATGGTATTTTCCAACCATAACATTGGTGGTATCTGATGAAAATCCAACCAAATTTGTTGATCGAATTTTATTCAGCCTTAGAGACTCTTTTAATAGTGCATATAAATCATCAGCAGTGGATCCATGAGCTTCAAGGAGGTCAAAAAACTGTGTTTTCACCATATTGGAACTATTATCAAAATAAATAACACTGAAAGCACATTGCTTCTTTACAGATATGTCTGTTGTCTCATATCCATCACTAATGAAAAAAAAGATCCTTCAACCCTCAATTTGTCACTCAATTTCTGTATGAAATTGTCACCTATACTTTTGCATAAGATTGCAGTGGCTTTTGACCTTTTCAAGCTCAATTGCTGTGCAGTTTTTGAATCTTGAAAGATATATTTCAACAATGGAGTGAGTGTGTCCATTAACAAAAATGGCAGATTGTTTTTGGCCAAAAGAGAACATAATTTTATATCTGCATTTCTGATGGCAACTATATCACTTTTTGACTTGAATAAGGTAGGAAGTTTCATGTTTTTGACTACTTTCTTAGAATTTAATTTATGTTTCATAGAATTTGAGTGTTTAATCAAAACACTCTTATGGGGCAAAATATCCTTCTCACAAACTCTACAGAAAGCATATTTATTTTCTATGTCACTTGGATTTGATGATCTCATCAGCCAACCCTCAAATTCTGACATATTCAGCCAAGAATTAACAAATATTGCTCTCTTTTGCTTCCTAACATTTTTTGATTCCTTCTTCTTAACAGGTTGCATATTTTCAAGCTCTCCCTAGAATTGAAAATATATCATTATTAATATTCTAATATTTTTTTGAATTTCCCTTTAGTGTAGTTACTTTGTAGATAAATATAAGAACCTACTTACATTATCATCACCATCATTGGTAATACTACTAATAATACTAGTCATACTAGTGTCACTGTCACTATTCTATTAACATTAGTATTCTGATCATCATTCTGAATTAATGACTTTATCTGGGGCTGAGCCTGGGGAACAGCTAGTTGAGCTACTACTGCAGCCACTGCAGCCAGGTTTGTCCCAAATACTTATAGTATCCGTCTCGTGTCGTCGAAGAGGTTCTTCCAAATCAAGCTCCACATCTGATGGAGCTGGAAACCCCTTGAATGGCGATGGGCTTTGGGAGCTGAGCCGCCGTTGCAGGAATGATGATGCCGGCGGTGGTCTGTGCTGATCGTTCTGAGATACATCCATATCTGAACGACAATATCAATACGCGATGATTGAAAGACTGGAATGATAACTCTCAAAACACGACTTTTATTCAATTCGGAATCGGATGTCAGTCACACTTGACGTTCCCGAATCTCATCATATACGGGGTGGTGACACCTCGCAGAGGTCAGTCTGCGACATCCCCCCCCCTCCTGAACAAAATCGTAACTTTTTTATTAAAAATAAAAAAATATATAACGTCATGAAGAACTATACAAACAAAATGTTTTCTCTCGAATCAGGTGTCCAAAAATCATTGATGATTTTGATGTCGTTGACGGCTTGTCGTTTTGACCTCCTCAATCGAATAGGTTCTGGGTTTGCCTCGTTTAGGTTTTCGATTTGCTCGATATCCGATGTGCTACTTCCCTCTTCAACACGTGTATCACATTGCCTAATTTCATTTGAAACACCACAGTAGGGCCTCAGATCATCAATATGAAATTTGAAATTCTTTCCATCTCGTTTGACAATATATGTATTATTCCCCATCACCGATATAACCTGATGAGGACCAGTCCAGGTTGGAGCCAATGGGTGAGTGTCTCGAAACTCTCTAACCATGACCCTCTGACCTATTTGAAGTTGCAGAGGTGCTTCTCTTGGTTCAGGAAAATGTTCTTGCTGAAATGCTTCTGTATGAAGATTAGCTTGTTGGAGTCGTTCGACCAGAGCTTCCTGTGCATTTAATTCCCGTCCACTGAGAACCGGATTCGCCCATTCTCCAGGTCTTGGTAACTCATGACCAAAAATTAATGTACTGGGCGGCACAGACGTAGCACGATTTTTCCTATTATTCAATGAGAACATTATCTCCGGTAGATCTATATCCCATTTACCGGGGCCTTCAATCATAGTTTTACTCCTTAATGCCTTTTTCAACTCTTGGTTCCGTCTCTCAACAGGGTTAGCCCTTTGATGATAAATAGGAGTAGTAAAATGGTTGATATGCAGACCCTCCAAAAATGAATTCCAGGTATTGCTCTTAAACTGTGGTCCATTATCAGTGATAATTGATTCTGGATACCCCCATCTGCCGAAAAGTTGCTTGAGAAAACGAATAATAATTCCATTAGAAGCAATACGAATTGCTGACACTTCGGTCCATTTAGAGCATAAATCTGTGACAACTATGATGTTCTGATTGCCGTTCGATGTTCTAGGATAAGGGCCCATAATATCTAAGCTTATAACTTGCCACGGCTGAGTTGGTGATCGTGGTCTCAAAGGAGCCTGTTGTTGTTTTCCACCAGCTTTTACCGAAGCGCATATGAGGCAAACTCTGACATAATTACGGATAGTTTGCCACATACCTGGCCAATGGAAAGTTGTACGAATCGCTCTGGAAGTTTCGTCTCTACCCGGATGTTCAGCTGTCTTTGCATCATGGTATTCATATAGTACCCTCTCCTGCAAACTTCTCGGAACCTCCAGTGCTAAATGATTGTCATTCTTATAAAAAAGAAATCCATCTTGTACTTGATAAGAATGCTTCAACTTTCGTTCTCTACCTCGCAGATCCTCTGGAGTCTGTTTATCAATCAGTTGCCAAATTCGAATATCCTCTTGTATCGCATTATCCTCAAGCTGTGCTTTTCTGACTGCTGAATATATAGGATCTCCAACATCCATTGGATTCAAATACAAGCTTCCACTTAGGATACTGTCATGATTGCTGCTTTCCGGAATGATAGGTGGTATCAACCGCTCATCATAATCATTTCTACCATCACATTCGACTATTCCAGATTGCGTATATCGTGATAAAAAATCAGCAATGTGGTTATCCTTCCCTGGACAATGCTCCACAGTGAATGAGAATTCTTGTAAAAGAAGGGACCATCTAGTCAATTTAGTTCTTTCATCTTTGAAACGTTCAAGCCAGGAAAGGGCTTTGCTGTCAGTGATAAGTGTGAAAGGGCGATCTTCCAGATACGGCCTAAAATGCTTGCATGCCCACACGACTGCTAAGACTTCCTGCTCATTGACATGGTACTTCTTCTCGGTCTTGGTGAATTTTGAACTTGCATAAGAAATTATATGTCGCTTGCCTGCCATGCCCCATACCATTCTGACTTGCGTCTGTTTGAAGAATGAAAGGAATATTAGGATCAGGCCGGTGGAGAAGAAGTGGTATAGCCAGAGATTCTTGTAATTTCTTGAATGCCTCTTCCGCCTCAGAATTCCATCTGAGAACCTTCTTTCCAGTTAGATCAGTCAAAGGACTAGTCAAACCTGCGAAATCGGGAATATAATCTCGTAACCAGTTAGCAGTTCCTAAAAATGCTTGCAGTTCCTTCATTGTCTTTGGAATAGGAAACTCTTTAATCTTCAATACATGCTTTTCTTGTGGATAATTTGCCTCAGAAGTGATAACATGTCCCAAATATTCCAAATGTGTGGTAGCAAAATGACATTTAGAAAGGGAACAATGAAGATGATGTGTTCGAAGTCGTTCCAGTACTAAAACAAGGTGATACAGATGGTCATCGTGTTTTTCTGAATATATAATGATATCATCCAGATAAACCTTGACAAACTTGTCAACATATCCAGATAAAACTTCTGTCATCATTTTTTGAAAGGTTGAAGGCGCATTCCGGAGACCAAAAGGCATAACTAAGAATTCATACATCGCACCGTCAGGAGTTCCAAATGTAGTTAAAGGGACGCTGTCGGGATGCATGGGAATCTGCCAATATCCGCTTTTGAGATCCAAAGATGTAAACATTTTACCGTTTCCTAATTCTCTTATCGTCTCACGAATTGGTGGGAGTTGAGATACTTCAGGTTCAGTCTGACTATTAAGCTGACGGTAGTCGACACAAAATCTTGGAGAACCATCTTTTTTTTCAACAATCACAACTGGAGAGCAATAACTAGAATGACTTCGCTGGATGACCCCCGCCATCAGCATTTTTTGCACCTCCTGGTAAATGATTTCTTTCTTCTTTGGAGAATATTGATATCTTCGTATTCTGAATGGTGTACAATTATTCAGTTTGATATAATGCTGTGCGAGTTTCGTAGTTGGCTGGCACAGCCTTTCTTCAAATACATCAGAAAATTCAGTAAGTAATGCTTTATATTCCTCGAGAGATTCCATGGGAAGTTGATCATACTGTATATTCACAGGGTTGATTTGGAAATCTCCCCTATTTTCCTTGACATTCCAATAAACAGTAATACGTTTACGTGTTCCTAGATACACACATCCTGCCACGAAGTCCAGTATTCCGTGGTTTTGGTCAACCAGTCACGTCCTAAGATTAAATCTTCTGTTAGATATTCTAAGATGTGAAATTTAGCGATGAACTGCTGTTCCAACAGAAGAATTGTGGTAGAAATTTCACCAAGTGTTTTGAGAACTTGGCTAGGATTAGCCAGCCTTACTTCTGTGGTGGATTTTGAAATTGGTATGTCACGAACTAATTTGGATTTAATAAACGAATGACTCGCTCCACTGTCTAAAAGGGCAAGAACTGATTGGCCATTGATACTAACTAATATTCGGGGAAGTTGGGGATCTATTTGAGATGAATTTATAGTTCCTAGGGTAGGGCTTCCTGGCTCACACCTACCCTGGATTAGTTTTCCGAATGCTGCCTCTGATGCCTTTGGTAATTTTGTGTCTGCCTAGACGATTCTTGTACTCGTCGTTGTGGGCAATCCCTATTATAATGCCAACCTCTACAAAAACGACATGGTGACCTTGGCCCATTTGTATCAGCTGATCCATTATTCAGAAAATTTCTATTTGTTGGTGTCTGGTATTTTTTCATGTCCGAAAGATCATTTTCTATAATAGTACTAATAGTAGCAGCCTGAATCAATTCCTCCATGCCACCAAACTTCCTTCCACGGAGGTTGACTCTCAATTCCGGAAGAAGAAGCTCGAGTGCTCTGTGA